TTCCAGTAAATTTGCTCCAATTTTCTACTTGAAAATGATTATTAACCCATTGGACATCAAATATACATCACCAAATTCGTTATGAATGTTCGTAATGTTATATAAAAAAAATATTTTCAAAACCATCTTTAAATAATTATAATCATAATCATAATAATAATCTCACATTATTTTTACTGAATAGATGCCGACTTTTTTGTTATATTATTATATCATATTATTATGTATATTGTTATTATGTTGTTTTGTTATATTGCAAGAATTCTGGAGGGAAACAAAATTACTAATGACATACTAACAAGAGAGATAAAACATAGAGAGCCAAGGGGTGGCGCCCGATTGCCCACGTTGCCGATTGGCCAATTTAAAATAAAATTATTTGATTGGTTGATCCAATAGAAAATCTCCAGGCATCGGTTGCTATAAGTGGCTGTGTCTAATTGCAACGTGGTCAAATCTGGGACGCTCCCAGAACCAAGTGTTCCTCTCACTCTACAATGAGTGCGCGTTTAATTAATACGCTGTTCAGTTTATTATCTATTATCTATTATGTTTATTATCTATTATAACGGCAGATTTTTGCGCTATAGTGAATTTCTCTCTGGTTACACAGAACATCGGTCTAAAGCGTGTTTGGTGTGTCTATAAATGCATCTTGATATTTGTTTCATCATATATCAAAATATATAAACTTTATGGAGTATATCGTGTCGTTATATCTATAAAGAAGAACTCGAAACTCGGTTTAAAGGTGGTCAGGTAAGATTTCATTTTTTCTTTCATTAAAATTTTCAAGGGAATATTTTTTCATAATGTGCGCGGCTTCGATAGCCTGGACTGTCGAAGCACGTATCTCGTTATAGCCATGAGGTATTCAAATGGAAACTGAGGCAATAAGATGAGGTTAAGGATTCGCTTGGTTAACATTTGCATTCGGCATAAATGCACGGATGCGCAGGATGGTGTCCGAATTTCCAAAAAGACTCGGTGGAAAAAGATGCATCTGAAGAATGTTGAAAGCATAGAACCCAATCGAGAGCACGTAACTTCTAAAAGCAGAACTGCCACAAACTTTGTTTACAATTCACCTGTAATACAAAATTTACCCGTTAACCGTGAAGACAGTTCCTACAAGTTATTTACAACATTTGAGGGAGTGCCAAATGAGCCGAAGATAGAGCAGGATGTAAATTCAGACATAGATTCCAAAAATGCAAAAACTCATACTATCATGCAAACAACTGGATTATCAAACCAATCACATCAAAATAGCACTCAGGAATTAAAGGAATCAGAAAATAATATCAATGTTAATTTAGATATGAATTCTAAGAGAGATAATGTTAGAGTTAATGAGATAAATATGCAGATGCTGCCTGAAGCATTGCACAAACAATTGTTTCAAAAGGATGATAAAGAAGACTGTATCTCTAAGGAGGAAATCAACAACATAAAAGAGAATTTAGCTACATATGGTATAAATATAGAAGATGCAATCAGATTGCCGGATGTGAACTTGAAACTACCAGCTTTAAAAGGCAGAAATATAGAGGAGCATTTTTATAACATTGGAAAAGCTCAGACCAAGCCATATTTAAAAATCATAAACGAAATTATAAAAGATATTCCTAAGATGCCAAAGCAATGGCTCTTTAAGGTAGGATGGACTAGATATGGAACAGATGGTACAGTGGAAAATGTAGATTATCCATTGGAAGATGGTGTAATTTTCGACGTTGAAGTTTGTATGAAACAGGGTCCTTTGCCTACCCTAGCTACTGCAGTTAGCAATAAGGCCTGGTATGGTTGGGTATCAAATTCATTGGTGCAAAACATCAGTCAAACGTTTGATACACAGTTCACACCGAGTATGCTTGTTCCTATGGAAAGCAGCCAAAAAGAAGATGGATATAGATTGAATCAGCATCAAAAGAAGCCAAAGATTATTGTAGGTCATAACGTGTCATATGATAGGAGTAGAATTAAAGAGCAGTATTGGCTTAATTGTACAGGAACTCGTTTCCTTGACACTATGTCATTGCATATGTGTGTGAGTGGTCTGAACAGCTATCAAAGATCGTTATTATTATCTAAAAAAGTAGATACAGAGAAAGAGATCTGGCAATCTAGTACTTCATTGAATAGTTTAACGGAAGTACATAAACTATATTGTGGCTATGAGATAAGTAAAGAGGCAAGAGATCTGTTCGTCGAAGGTACTATCAAAGATATTAGAGATAATTTCAATATGTTGATGTCTTACTGTGCTTCTGATGTAGTTGCTACTCACAATGTATTATGCAAATTATACCCACTCTTTCAGGAAAGATTCCCTCATCCAGTTACTTTAGCTGGAATGTTGGAGCTCGGCTCAGCATACTTGCCTGTGAATTCAAACTGGCAAAGATATTTGGAAGAATCGGAATCAACTTTTGACGATTTAAATTACGAAGCGAAATTCACTCTCGCAAAAAGAGCCGATGCTGTTTGTCATCTCATGCATGATGAGAAATACAAGGAAGACTTATGGATGTGGGATCAGGATTGGAGCACACAGGAAATTAAAATGAAGAAAAAAGCATCTAACCCCAAAGTAAAATCTGATGTAGAGACAAACGTAATGGAAGAAACGCGAGAGCAATCGAGTATTAATAAATATTTAGATAACGAAGACGAGGAGGAGGATCCTCTAGCAAAAGAATTTGCATATTTGGAGGAAACTAGGCATTTATTGCCAGCCAGAATGCCGCATATGCCGGGATATCCAGCGTGGTACAGAAAACTTTGTCCCAAGCAAAACGATGAGGATTGGGCGCCAGGTCCGCAGAATATTAGCACTTCTATGCAGGTAGTTCCAAAACTGTTGAATCTAACATGGGAGAAGTATCCGTTGCATTACATAAAAGATCACGGTTGGGGAATTTTGGTACCTTACACCGACAATCTTGATATTGAAACTAAACTTCCATTAAAAAATCTTTTGGCACAGTGTCCCTTGCCAGCATCCAATTCGTCCAGGGATATTTCTGATGATGCGATGACCACCTTGAGTACCGATGTGCAGAATGATCTTCATAAAATAGAATTCTGGCGATTCAAAAAGAAGCGGAATGAACCGTACAACGAAGCGTACAAGGGCACTGGCACATGGTGCAACGTCAACATCGACAATTGCTGCTACTTCTTCAAATTACCACATAAGAACGGCGTCAATTACAACGTCGGCAATCCGCTTGCTAAGGACTTCCTCAACAAATTCTCCGAGAATGTACTCGCCGGTCTAGATGTCAGCGCCGCGGAGGTACTAAAGATCGCCCGTATGCTGTCTTACTGGCGAAACAATCGCGATAGAATCATGTCGCAACTGGTAATATGGTTGGACGATCGTTCTCTGCCCAGCAGCATTAAAAAGGCGAAGCAACACATGCGTTACGGTGCTATTATACCACAGGTAGTCGTTTCCGGTACGTTAACGCGTCGTGCCGTGGAACCTACGTGGATGACAGCATCTAACGCGCACAACGAACGGATCGGTTCTGAACTCAGATGTATGGTTCAAGCCCCGCCGGGATACAATATTGTCGGTGCCGACGTTGACAGTCAAGAGTTGTGGATCGCCTCGATCATCGGAGACGCTTACTATAAGCGTATTCATGGAGCGACGCCTTTTGGTTGGATGACATTAATTGGTACCAAGTCCAACGGCACTGATATGCACAGCGTCACGGCTAAAGCCATCGGAATTTCACGCGACCATGCCAAGGTTATCAATTACGCTCGAATCTATGGTGCCGGACAGAAATTCGCTGAACGACTATTAAAGCAATTCAATCCGTCGATGACGGACACCGAAGCCACCTTCAAGTCCCGTAAAATGTTCGCTCTCACCAAGGGTAAGAAGGTATTTCGGCTGAAAGCCGAATTCGTCAACGATGACTTAAAGGATGTCCCCTATACGTTCTCTCAGGCGTATCAATTGGCAAAGATGCATGGTAAAGCATTGCAGGACATGTTCCAGAAAAACGAGTGGGCGGATGGCTCGGAATCAGCCATGTTCAATCGATTGGAGCAGATTGCCGGTAGCAAACATCCGGTCACGCCATTCCTCAACGCCAGATTAAGCCGCGCTCTTGAGATCACCAATACCCATGACGATGATAAGTTTCTGCCCACTAAGATCAATTGGGTAGTGCAGAGTGGCGCGGTAGATTTTTTGCATTTAATGCTGGTGTCCATGAGATGGTTAATGAAAGATAATGCTAGATTCTGCCTGTCATTTCACGATGAAGTGAGGTATCTGGTTTCTTCCAGATACAAATACAACGCTGCGCTGGCCATGCACGTGACCAATTTGATAACGAGATCGTTCTGCGCTTCTAGATTAGGCATGAGAGATCTACCCATGTCAGTGGCGTTCTTCGCCTCGGTAGAAGTCGACACCGTCCTCCGTAAAGAGTCTGCTCACGATTGCAAAACCCCGTCAAATCCTCATGGCTTACAGATTGGATATGAAATACCGCCCGGCGAGAGTTTAGATATCTGGACTGCTTTGGAGAAATCCGGTGGTTCGCTAGGCTCTTGGCACGATGTGAAAAGCCGCAAAGTTAAAGATTCAACTACTGAAAAATTACCACCGGTTTCTCAAAAGACTAATTAAGCGAAAATTATGAGATCATATTTTCGTATCACAATATTTAAAAACGTAAAGTTTTGTATTACAATATTTAAACAAGTGGAAAATTGATAAAGAAGAAAAATGAAACTTATATTTTTAATTTAATTTTACAGATTATAATGTCGTCTGCAGCAACAAAGCGTAAATATGTTTATCAAGAACTCGACGATATGAGCCTTCCTACAAATTCGCAAAGCATCGTACGAATTGTTCAAGCCCGTGGTCACAATCTTCACGAAGTCATCACTCCCACCGGAGAACAGTACATCGTCTCGATGCCTACCAAATTCAGGCAAAATATCTGGGTGAAAAGAGGTGATTACATTGTTATCGAGCCAATCAAAGAAGGCAAGAAAGTTAAGGGCGAAATTGTTAAGATACTTACAAAGGTAATTTCTAATAATAATTTTATATTTAGTAATATCATTTTTGTAATTATTTTTCTGCTTACTGTATATATTTCACAGAAATATTTAAATATCAATATAATTGTGTGAGAAATAATACACATATTCAAATTAAGTCTTTTGTAAGCATTAAAAATAATACTTTTATCTTTTATTAATATGTGTATAAATACATGCATTTAGGATCATATAAAATGGTATCGCGCACAAAATTGTTGGCCGCCGGAATTCGATGAAAATCCAAAAAGGAATGGACATTCGATAGTAACGAATTATGCTACATGCGACGACGAAGAACTTTTTGTAAATACAAATAGGTGTCCCACTAATCAGAATGCAGACAGTACAAGTGATTCAGATTCCAGTGAATCTGATTAATTGAAAATGACAGACTTTCCTCTTTATGATATAAAAATATATATATATATATATAGATATAATCTTGTAATTTGTTAAAAAGCAAATTTTTTATTATTATGTGTATAATATTTAATAATAAAACATTATTTTTGCATTATAAAACATTATATAATATCAAACTTGGTTTTCTGTCTTATCTAAAACTTAATTCAATATATACTTCCTATAAAAAAACATGAAAATTCTTTTCAGTTTATGGTTTTTTAAATTAAAATAGCTTCTTTTATAACAAGCATTCAGATTTTATTCTTTATTATATCCTACAGTTAGCAAACTTCATTATTTTCAATCAAATAGTTTAATGTTACTTGATTTCTGTTCTATTTAGAATTTTTGTAAAATTTAATTGGGTGTATACTTTTTACAAAGCATGAAAATTCTTTTCAAATTATAGTTATCCAAGTCAAAATAAAAATTTTTTTACAATGAGCTAAGCATGTAATTTTATTATCTCTTATAGTTTACAAAATTCGTTTATTAGTATTATTTTTCAATGAAGCGGCTCGATGTTGTTGAACAACCTTAAAGCTGCTTACTTGTCAAGAGGATTACTTCATCTCGGAGAATTGGGGAAATTGAAGTCAAAGGGTGAGTTATTAGTTGTAAACGAAATCTGAAAAATCTAAAGCGCGCTTACATACTTGACAGTTTTTCATCAAGTTTTCTACATTGGATAATTAATTCTGGATAATTAATATTGAATTATTATTCTGACAATTGTTCTTTATAATAAACTCAATTCTGTAATCAATACGATTTCAAAAAAGTTACGTCGCACTTTTTGCCACGTCTGTCAGAAAAGTTTCGCCAAAATATATTCATCCACTTTAGTTGAAACAAACTTGCGGTACAAAACCGTTTCTCTTTACATCAGGGATAATGCTCAAGTTTCCTTAATGACAAAGAACTGCCGCTATCCATTTTTCTTATCGTGTAAGGAGATTTATGGATTTGCTATAAACAGAAAGACTCTAAGGAAGAGAGAGAAAGAAAAGGGATTGGTTCAATATAGTAAGTTCTTAACTTTAGAAACTAAAAACTTTAGAAGTTAAATTAACTTTTCCAAATTAATTCCAATTTTTATTTTTCAATGAAAAAAAAAATAACTTTTTTCGTAAGAATTTATAGACTTGTTTCTTAATTATTAAAACAATTTAAGATGTTTAATTTTACTTTGTCATGTTCAATAAAGTGGAGACAATCATATATGTGTGGCAAAATTTTAAATTAAACAAGGCCAATGTATGAATATTATTAACAAATCTCTGCGAACTTTGCAGATATATGGAATGACGTATTCAAAACTTGGAAATATTTCTTAGGGATGCGGTGCAACGAAATAGAATCGTTGATAACTCCATTGTTCCTTCCTGTCTGAAAGATATTCCTCTTCCGTTCGTCTAGAGTATTTCCGCAGTGTAACATGACAAAATCTTCCTCTTACTTTTTATTTATCTTCAGAAGAGGATAAACATATATAGTGTTGAATGCAAAATCTGACGAATGTTCCGTTTATATGCAGAGAAGTTGTATCAGAAAGACGTTAACGATGAAAACGATTTATTTGAACTTAAGAAATCATTCCTGTAGAGATAAGGGGATGATTTAATGGCTTCAGCTCGACTAACTCCCTTTGACGTGAGCAAACATGGAAAAATAGAAAAAGAGAAATATTGCACAAATACCGATAATATGAAAGTCATTTTTTCCTCTCTTCAACCCTCCCCCGTAACGTGTGGAAAAAAATTTAACGAGAAAAGGCAACAATTAAATAATAATACTAGTTATTTCGACATATTATAATATCACAAAAATTAAATTAAAAAATGTTTAAGTTTTTAAATTAAAAAGTTTCTAAACTTCTAACTTCAAAAATTAAAGACGTTTTAATTTTATGCGAGTATCGACTTTATATATTTTTCTTAAGAGTGAATTAAACTTAGTATAAATATTAACGAAAATATTATTGAAGTTACATGGAAAAATCTTTTTCTAAAAACATACCTTTTATTGGATAATTTGTTTCAAAAAGATTCGACAGCTTAATACTAAAGATACTGGCAAAACGCGTGGTTTCAGAAAAGTTTTCTCTTAAGAAAAATAATAATCGTCAATTAAAATTCGTTTATTAAATTCATTTATCTTTCTCGAGGAGATTGTGTTTTTGAAGGCTATCTCGACGAGGAATTCTTTTCTAAAAGAAATTTCCTCTGAAACGGGGGATATGATCGTATCGAAACGGTGCTGACCAGTGATTTGCAGAGATTTTCTGTGGAGTTCCAAATCACGATTTTCAAAAAGAGATCCGATTGATCTGACTCGACGCTACGTCGAAGAAAGCTCGCTATCAGCGGAATCTATGGACAGACAGGTGTCTGCGACGGTATTATCGAGATCATTGCGTAGTTCGTACTCGGTGACGTCCTATCGCGGATGACAGAACAGCCCGTTCCAACGATTTCTACCTCACGATCTACATCTGATCGTTCCAATATGTCGGGAAAGAGCGCCAATGACGAGCGAAAACGGTCGATCGGTGACCTTACATAACACGTAAAGACACGTGCTTCGCTCGAAATAATCAACATCCGTGTGCTTTTCGAGCAGAGTCAGTGTCGTTCTGACATTTCGCGAGCGCTAATTGTAAACAGCACGTCTTTCAGAGCGAGCGAGCGAGCGAGCGAGCGGAGCTCGTAGTTTCGTTTAAAGCAGATTGGAAAGTGGAGTTCGATCACTGCGATATTGCAAATTGTCCGGTTGTATTGCGGTTTCGTCGAGTCGCCGAAATTCGAGAGTAGACGACGGAAATAAAAAAAAAAAAAAAAAAAACAATTTAAAAAAACACACGCAAGAAGTAAAGTGGAACTGCGAACGATATACGACAATACTGTGATAGCCGGTCGAGGATTGAAGCCTTGCGTAAATATTTAAACGGCGACCGACCAGTGTGACATTCGCCTATCGATCTCTCGAGTGCAATTATAATTACAATCTAATTTCAATTAAATTCTAATTATAATTCCTGCACGGAACTCTCTAATTGGCAGCGAAAATTCGAGTGAAAATCGAGCGCGAAATGATTAATCGCAAAATGCGAACGGGAACAGGGAACGTTTATTTCGTCAAACAGCAATAAACGAGTGTCCACGTTTTTACGTTAGTTTACCATTTACCATTCGATTTGCCATCTCGCGGGATTGTCCTCGAAGGGCTAACTACGAATATTGCGCTCAAAGTGCAATCCAATTTCGACGTATGCGAAATCCGATAACGAAATCCGATTGAGAAGGCATAATGACATATGAGTGATTGTTATCCTATTCGTTTTTCGCAATCTCCTTCCCTCATTGTCTCGGGGGAGAATTCTGCATGAGCAGAAAGCCGTATCGTTGTAAGTGGGTGACCCATTAACGGATCCATCGATAGAGGAGGAGAGACTCGACTCTCGGGTTATCGGAGATTCGGGATGACGTTTCTCCGTTTTTTGCGCGCACGATACGGAAACGTGATATCGAAATGTGCATACACGAAGATATCGTCGCGATGAGTCGAATCAGCGGGTGATATCCTCCGCGAGGACGTCGACGAGCATGGAGTCGAGCGAGGACGAAAATGGTACGCTCGATTTCTGGCGGGACTGGGATCTGAGCAACCTAACCGAGGCCGAATACCTGAGCAGGGTGCTGGGACCGAAATATCTACCCCTGAGACTGGTGATACCCCTCACGATCGCCTACGTGGTGATCTTCATCACTGGCGTCTTCGGCAACGTGGCCACGTGCACGGTTATCATACGGAACGCATCCATGCAGACCGCCACCAACTACTACCTCTTCAGTCTGGCCGTATCCGACCTCACTCTACTTATGCTGGGTGAGAGAACAAAGGGCGACACACAAAATATTTTGTTTTCGGGATTGGTGGTTCGATCTAAACACGACGGAGGGAATAAGAAATGTAGAAGGGATTGGGAATTAGAAGCAGAAAATTAAATCTCGACGTATGGGAACTCGATAATATAATCAAGGAATATCAAAAAGTGTTTTGTTATTTGGTGTTTTGGTGAAAGAAATTTGCTCTTTCTAATTCTTTAATATTATAATATTTAATTCCTTACTTCTTATTCTTGTACATTGTATCCGAGTATTGTCCATAGCTTCTCGGTATTGCCTTTATCCTTCCAGCGTTATTCTTTTTCTGTAAACTGATATTTTTTATAAATTTAAATGTGAATTAAGGATTACATTAATTTTTATAATTTTTATATTTATAACAAAAAAATTATGAAAAACTTTCAGATTATTTTAAATTGCATTTAAAAATAATACAAAAATATTTAGCGGTGGTTTAAAATTTGGTTTTCAAAAATTATTTAAATATAAAGTAAAAATATGTTTTAATAATAATGTAATTAAGAACTAATAATAAAAATCTTAATTTTTTTGTATAAGTACTTTAGTAGTAAACATTCAAGATTATTTATCATAGTATCAAAGTTTTATTATGACGTAGAGATTAATTATCCTATAAATAAAAATTAAATTTTTATTAAGAATATAAATGAAACGATACAAACATAACAATAAATTTTTTATAATTTTTTCATTGCAAATAAAAATATGTGTAATACATTCTTAATCGTTTCACCCATCAAGTAAACATAAAAAGAAATATCAATTAGAAGAATTCTGTTATATATTAGATCGAATGATAAACATTGACGATAAATAAAGTTGACATTTTGTAAGATTATAAGAAATATTTTTTAATATTTTAATTTTCTAACATAAATTATAAACTGTGTGAAATAAAATATTTCATCTTGAATAAAGATGATCGAATTTATGATATTCTTTTACGTGAGAATGTAAAAGAGAATCTCAATAACAAACAAAGACAGATACAGACATTAAATCTAACATTTCTGACAAGTTAATACTTGATAAAGAATCTATCTTTAAAGAACTTGGATTCTAATGGTAGCAAAATGAAAGACGCCCACGGACTCTTTTATAAATAAAACAATACCCTTATGATGTAAAATGGAAGAAATAAGAACACACGTTTGACTGAATTTGGTATATGCTTATTACTATTTAAATAAAATATGAAGGTATAGTATCTGCCTAAGCGTAAAAGCGTTGGCACGAGATTTCTTCTTTTTCCACTGTTCGTTCTGAAAACAGCGGACAATACAAATGTAAGATTCAACGGTATTTCACGCGATTCCGTGAGTTCTTTTCTCGTATTTCCATCTCGCGTTTTTTCATCTCGCGTAATGCAACGCGAATTAAAGATCCGCATGGAGGAAAAGTTCATTCCTCTTATCGCTTTCATTTTAATCGGATCGGCTTGCCGGATCGATACAAAAGCCGCGTCGATGACCGTCGAATCGCCTCTGGCTGGCAAATCAACTCGTTAACTGACGATGGCACTTCGCTCGCTGATAATGCGATTTTGATAATTGGCAAAGCGACTGATAGCCGCGATAACCGGTTTGGTTAAACGCGTTCTCGTTTGGAATAATGGAATACGCTGCGGTGTCGATTTGACCGAGAGCCCGTTTGCAAAATATATAAATTTCATTGGGTTATTCTCGACCGCGCTAAAGTGCAAAAAGAACAATGAATGAGGTCGAATCTCGTCGAAAGAACAAATTGGCTCGGATTTAAAGTTGACGGAGCGATAGAATGGAACTAATCCCTTTAGCCTGATCCCTTTTGATGATAAATTAACCTGAGGATCCCTAACTTATTTCGCGCTTTCTTCTAAAAAAAAATTTTAATTTTTACGGAAAAACGGCTGGTATATCGACTAATGAAAAATATTATTCGAGAAACGTTTCGAGAATGTTATTCGTGACTTTCTTCCAAATTTATATATTTGGCTTTTGAATGAAAAGAAGATATTAGATAAATATAAGTTTCAAGGCTAATGATAAAATATTTTGAGAAATAATTGCGACTAACAATTCGAACAACAACTCGAAGGTGAAATTAAAGTTATTTTTATCGATATTTCATGTGTAAATAATTAAATTTATAGTCGTAATTAATTTAACAATTAATTAATTTAACAATATCGTTATATAATACTTGCCTACAATGCGAGTACTTTAAAAGCACAAAGCGAGCGATCTTTCGTCGGGATAAATAAAATCAATTATTATATGTTATCTTTGTATTATCGCGATCATACACACAGCAACCTGACACGAGACTGTTTCCCCTGACGCACGTAGATAAAAGCTTGAAATTAATCTCCGTTTTATTGTGTACAATCACGATTGTTATCTGCACGGTGGTCTGTTTGCCGATGGTAACAACGTTCATATTTACGTCATTGCAAAGAATTCACAAGACTGAAAACTTGACGTGATAACGAGATTCCACATGAGAAATCTAAGAGAGAGACAATCTTCTCACTGTATCATAGAAAATAAAATTTGATCTTATCTTTATCTTAAGGACGTATTATACCTATTTTTACTTGCAATGAAGAATTATGAAGAAAATCATAAATTATTCTAGACTAAAAATTGCAGAATTTTGCAGAATCTGGAAAAATGTATTTAAATATAAGGTAGAAATGCTTTAATAGTAATTAAGAAATAATAAAACTTTTTTTAAATTTTATTTCAATGCAGATATTAATTGTTTTATAAATAAAAATTTAATTTTATTTGTAAACACTCGTTTCATTTACTATACTGTTTATAAAAATTTAATAGCCTAATCTCTGCATTGCAACTTTATGTAAATACTTAAAATACTTATATAAAAAATTGGGTCTTTTATCATTATGTCTTAATTACATTTTCAGTAAAGCACACTTACCTATTTAAATTACTTTTTATCAAGATATTAGCTTTTGCAAAATTTTTGTGTTATTTTTAAATACGATTTATAGAATAATTTGTAAATTCTTCATAATTTTTTCATTGTAACCATAAAAATTATAAAAACAGGTGTAATATATTTTTAAGTTAAAAATCGTAAAATTTGAAATAAAAATTCATTGAAAAAGAATATCGTGGTAACAGATACGCAAACTATTCAAGCGTTTCGATTGGTATCAAAAAGAATGTGTCATCCATCCAAAGGATTTTAATTACTTATAAATCAATTGTGTGTGTCAATTGATAGCATAAAAGTAGAGAGAGAGAGAGAGAGAGAGAGAGAGAGAGAGAGAGAGACAAAGGGAGAAAAAGCGTGAGGGAAAGAAAGAGAAGGGAAGCGGCAAAAAGTTGAGACAAAAGCAGCAGAAAAAAATAAGCGTTCCATTAACGGACAGGCGGCAGAATAAAGATATCTGACTGCACTTATCAGTCGTTCAAAGACACGAAGCGTCGTCTCGTCGTTGTGCGAGCTTGGCGCGATATGTTTATTAATTAAAACGCGAACGTAAACGGTGCTTATTGAGTTTACTTGATTCGCAACGAATGTTCGCGCGTTTCCGCGGCGGTGGTAACGTGCGAAAATGATTTTAACTTGCGTAGCGAAGGCGCAAACCTCGTTAATATTGTCATGATGCGGCGTGATGCCTTCGTGCTAATTACCAACCCGGGCTTAAGTCAGTCGTAAATCTGCTTTTCAGAAAATTAATTTGCAGCCCCTGCGGCTGAGGTGCAACGCAAGCGTTTTATTCACATCGAGAGCACATCGTACGAAATTATGATGCCGACGTGCATTAAAGTAATTGAAAAAAATAAAGAGATTAAAGCGGAAAGCCACGGAATCCCATTCTGTATTAAATTCTGTAAAAAAAGGAAAGCTCAAATACTTGAAAGTGACAACACATAGGTTTTTTTTTTTTTACACGTTACGGAAAATGCATTTAATTAATTAAGCACGCGTTTACATAATTTGCGAGTCTAATTGCTTTTGAAACGATCTAATCAATATTTTTAGAATGCATTTCCGCAATTAATTGCATTTGTTTTAATATACAATTTAATATTTTGCCATTTTGCCAAGTCAATTTTATTTTGGCAAGAATTTAAATTTAATTTGTCAACAATATGTCTGATGTAATTCAAATTATTCTAGGTCTCCCCAATGAGCTAAGTGTATTCTGGCAGCAGTATCCCTGGGCTCTGGGCACGGGGCTTTGTAAGATCCGGGCATATGTGTCAGAAATGTAAGAAATATTGTCGCACATGTCTTTATATCGCCGGTAAAGACGCCTGACGTTCTTTTATAAATCCGGACATTACTTTTCGCAGGTCATCCTACGTGTCGGTTCTCACGATCGTGGCTTTCTCTATGGAGAGGTATTTGGCCATCTGTCATCCCTTGCGCGTCTATTCGATGAGCGGTCTCAAAAGACCGACACGCTTTATCCTCGCGGCCTGGTCGATCGCAATCGTCTCGGCCGTACCGTTCGCAATTTACGCCAAAGTCAATTTCGTCGAATACCCGCCAGGTTTGAGTTCGACATAATCTGTCTCCTTAATATCCGAATAATTAATTCGCTTGCGAGAATTTTCGAATCCTTCAATTACGCGCTAAATTCAAAATATCATCAAAGTATAATTTTTAATTAAGAGTTTGTCACTCGCATTTCTCTCGCAGAGTTTCCTCTCTGTTAGCGACAAGTCTGAAATATCCCAAATTTAAACGTGAAAATATATATTGAAAATCTGACTATTTAAATTGCAGCATTTCAATACACAGATTTCGTTCTACTTAGTATATAACTCGGTCTACATTAGCTTAGTATAGCTATATATGCTCGGTCTACATTAAAACGTCGAGTACTTTTTTCAGGATCGGGAAATTATTCGGCTGACTCGGCGATTTGCGCGATGCTTCTGCCGGACATGCCAAAGTTTCCCCTTTACGAACTCAGCTGCATCGTATTCTTTCTGATCCCGATGCTTGTAATCCTCGTGATGTACACGAGGATGGGATTAAAGATCAAGAGCAGTACCAAGGAAACACTTGGTCCGATACAGGGCTCTTGCGTTCACGGCGATCATCGACAGATTCAATCCAGAAAGTCTGTCATCAGAATGTTAAGTATGATATCATAATTTTTATTCTTCATCTAGCAATTTATTTACAATAATTGAAACTTGACAAGTAATCAAATATAACTTTTTTTAAAATTGTAAAATTTTATTATAATCTTTTTATTTTTATAATTCGTATATTAAGTTGTTTTTATTTATTATTTTTAAGTTGTATATTTTTATCTCTTTTTACTCTCGATATTAAAAGTTTTGATCATTAAACTTTATTTAACGTCTAAAATTTTTGATATGATTTGTTCCAGGTGCGGTTGTTATCATGTTTTTCCTTTGCTGGGCCCCGTTTCTACGCCCAGCGTCTGCTTTACATCTACGCTCAGGAATCCGATTATTACCCAGATTTAAACGAATGGCTCTATATTCTAAGTGGCTGTTTGTATTACTTCAGTACAACCGTCAATCCGATTCTCTACAATTTGATGAGCCTCAAATTCCGCAAGGCATTCAAGCAAACAATATGCTGTAAAACAGGAAGACCGTCGAGCAAAATCTTAATGGATAAGAAATCTCATCTGCGTAGATGTGATTCCACGAATGATCGAATTATTAAGTGTTCTGTTAGGTATGGAAATTCAAAAATTCTCCATGCTAGATATTTAAAGCTCCAAGAATCATGAGAGTAATACACAAGCTCGATATAACGATTATACAATAAATATAATATTAATAATTTAATAATATTAATAATGTAATATTTTAATGTTAATTAAAATTATAAATATTAAATATAAAATGATTATCATATGTGCGCGCGCGTGTGCATATGTGGCAAAATATCTATCCTCTCTCTCTCTCTCTCTCTCTCTCCTCCCTCCTCTCTCTCTCTCTCTCTCTCTCTCTCTCATATTTCTTAATTAAGTACTATCATTTTCATCTATTTTATTTACATTAGAATAATTTTATATTATTTTATCTTTTCTTCAGACATACTATTGCTCAAGCCAAAGAGATATTTTGTTTTACATCGAGCCGACAGGAAAACATCAAGGATAACAACAGAAATAATGGAAATGCAAGCAATTTTCCTCAAAATACTTACTTGTTACAAAAGGAAGATTCATCCTCGATATTTCTCTTTGATCAAGGACATCTTCTCGCTCACCAGCAGCCCAGCATCGAAAGCACAACGTCTACGAAAAGATCGGAGGATACTATTTCCGCAGTTAAAAACAGTCTGTGATCTATTTCCATTTGTTTTTATTTAGATACAAATATAATGTGTAATGTTGAAAATAAAACTAGACGATGTGAGTTATCGAGTTATAAGCGTCTGAAAAGAGCTTTACAATATTGAGATTTACAATATTGTGTATATAAATAGATAATCCAAATTATTTTTTAACGATTAACGCGCTAAAAAATTTTTTATACTATTTATTCCAGAATAAAATTTTACATATACTATGTCTGATATATTTATTTTACGCATTTGTAAATCCATGTAATATTAAAAGATAAATGTTTAAAATTCCAACATGAAGATAATAATTTTCTCCCAAAATGCTGATATGATTATTTTCATACAAACGTTTCGTGACACACTTTACATAAACGAGCTATACTTCAATAAAGATAAATTTGCAGTCATAATGATTTAAATAAATTTTTAAAAGTAAAAAAACTATTGAGCTTCAATTTATTTCAACAACAATGTCATCAACTTGCCTCTAATCGATTGATTCTCGATATATGACGTACAGTTAAATTGCATAATAAAATGTTATCCATAGTAATTAATATTATATTAAAAAATTTTTTAAAGACAAAATTTTCATGTATTCTTAAAAAAATAATATTTTTCTACACACATAAATTCTTTTTTATCTTTTTCAATGTACAATATTTTGCATTAATTGAAGTTTTGCATAACAGATAGATGTACTCGAATATTAATGATAATTTCCCCGCAGTACACCCAAGTGGCATAGCTCATGCATTTATTTCATTTTAAATGAGGTGCATAATGTACATTATGTGCATAATGTACATCCTCCTCGGCGCCAATAAGAATCGAAAGAATATAAAGTGCCGCGCAATTATTTACACATCCGTAGCTTTAAAATTGCGCAGACGAGTCTTAAATGATGACTTTTTGCTACATAAAACGACTAAAGATATGAGAAACCGGTATAATCTTTCTATTCGTTTTAATGATTCAAAAGATAGTTCGTGTTTCAAAGGTAATTCATGCAGAAATTCTTAATTCTACGAAGACTTTTGCTAAATTAAATTTCTGGCATTATTTGATACATTCCGTCTTATATATTTAAATTTTATTGAATTTGATTTAGGTAAATTCGTAATATATTTCTATACTAATAATAGGCAAATAAATATATATTCTAAATTTGGCAACATGTAAATCGAAATCTCAGAATTAGAACCGGAAACTTTCTCGAATAAAAATCTAAATTCTTCCTTTAATAAAAAGGAACTTTAATTCAAAGAAAAATGTGTAACACGTGTAATGTAATAATTTTACCTTTATAAAATATACAGTTTATTTCTGTTACCGCATCAAGAGTCTATTTATAGGCTAATTTCTGCTTTGAAATCGGAGGGTAGAATTGACCGGTTTCCTGCGCTCGACAAAATCTCCAGCATTCACTACAATCGACGGCTACATTTTACCCCGTTAATCACGATTGCATCATAGACTTTAGAGAGAATTGCATGCTTCCAGTAACAGATAATTAACGCGTCAATTCTAAATGAAAAATACGTGGTGTCTTATTTCACGCGTATATTTTGTCTTGTATCGAATTCATTTTTCCTCATAGAAAATTTGCAGAGAATTTTTTTTAAATTTTTAATTTAAAATTTTTCTTTCTTATAACAACCAAATCTTAAATTGAAGATTCATAAAAAATTAGATCCTTACAACGTCACTCTCGCCAATATTTCCACAGCTGTTGGAAAAAAGCATAGAACTTTTCTTATTGAATCTCGTAAGGAGTTACAAAGATATATATTTTTAATATCGGGATCGGGAAGAGTTTCTTGATGTTGAAATAAAAATAATTGTATAGCATAGAGAGAGAGAGAGAGAGAGAGAGAGAGAGAGAGAGCGCATTGGTTCTGTTCCTATAAGAATAGATAATTAAGTTATAGGACGACAAAGAACTTTCACATTAAATTACGAAAGTTTGGAAGGAAGTGAATCAAAGCTGAGAAGTATCTCTTTGATAAACGACATATTGCGATCTTGTAAATCTCTCTAAATATCTTCTTACATATTATTAAACGTTTCATAACATTTTTAATTAGGAAAATTCCTATTAAAAGGAATTCTTTAAATTAACCCATTTGTGGTGAAAAAAATGTGCACGCGCGAAAAATCTACTTATACTTATTCTGAGTATGTTTTTCACTAAACACTAAAGTTTACTTCTCGTTGAAGTGTTGAACAATGCGTTTCATCTGTAAGGTAATAAATCCGTGATAAATCTTCTCGTTGAGATGACAACATTCTACTTCGCGATGACATTTGCAGCATCCATTATATTTGACATTTGAATATAAATAAGTGTCTTATTTACAAGTAAATGTACCCAATAAATTACAAGTAAATGTGCCCAATTCGCAAAGTTCCAGTTTCCATTATTTCAAATCGCTCGAAAGTTTGACAGAAATTGCAAACAAGCTTCGTATGTTTGTAAGCTTACAGAACTTTCACTGAGAACCTGGTATTTACGTAAATTCCGCTAAATATGAACTTAAATTAAACTGCAACTTGTTGCAAATTATTTACATAAATTAAGAAATTTGGAGAATTTATTGTAAGAGTTCAGAAATGCTAGGGAAATATGAAAAGAATGACATTTAATGTTCGTAATATACTCATACATTGTGATTTGTACAAGTTTTAAAACTCCTTTTCTAAACGCTTATTGTGTAGAACGTTGTTTCCCGAAATTGGATTGTCACGCAAATCTAGATACAACGTTGCGAGAGACACGATTGTCTCAAATAGATTTCAAGAAGATCCTATTTACATTGTGGCCTAATTTAAGAAAAATCTTACGTCTATCTGTTTCAGTCTCGAAATTCTTACACGTGCAAACACAGTGCAGAAATTCAGAGAAGATTCTATGTAAAGGGGGATTCTATGTAAAGGATTTAATTACTAATTCGTAAATTTACGCGATTGTATAATTATGTGAATAACTGGAATAAAATAACTTTTGTTTCTACTTGGTTTGCTCAGTATTAATTACAATTATCAAGTAGAAACAATTTGAAAGGATAAACTTGGATATTCTGGTTTTCCAAAATTATCAAGTAGATAAATGTATAAAAGATGTGTGTAAAAGTGAGAATGCAAGAAACAGCAGTAAAAAGTGGAGAAAAAAATTAATCTGAAAATTTAGAGACAGCATTTAGTTTGGACACTAAATATTTTTTGAATTTATTTAATATAATCACACAAACAGAATAACAATCTTTCTGGCAACGAATAAAATTAAACCTATTTAAATAATTTTCTTTTAATCGTGTTTTTTATTCTTGAGAAAATTCGTTATAAATTATTTTTTTAATTAGTTTTGTATTATTTTATAGCTTATAAAAATATTAACTTCTTAACAAATAAGAAAAGAAAAAGAGAAAGAAAAAACAAACAAAAAAATTTTTAATTACATTTTAGTTTTGAAGAACCATTTTATATCTTAAATTTGTTTTTCAGATTAATAACAAAAAATAACAAGTTGAATTATTCTGCAAAATAATATCTTAATTCTTAATAATCATATCTTCTTTTAATATGAAACGTTTTTTACAATTCGTTTTTTTAATTCCAGTGATATTTAATGTAAAATGTATGTGACAAAACGGATAATTACTCTTAAATAAGTAATAACTGCATAGTAATTCTGCATTAGTAATACTTATCGCTCGCAATTCTACGAATACTTAGAATACATGTACGAACATATTAGATACTCCGAGATAACATGACTGCAAATATCACGAATGCGAGAAAAGATACGAGTTGCAGATTGACCGTAAAAAAAAAAACAACAAGATGATGTTTTATGACTCACCATGCGATATTTTATCTCTCTTTAGAAGTGGTCTCATTACTTTGCATCACTTTTCCCTTATATTACCGTATCTTTTTGGTCTAATTAATTTTTCAGAAAAAAGAAATGTCATATAAATTTAATGAACCCTTATGAAAATTTTTCAGTTTTTATTCAAGTTTTTTTATACAGCTTTTATACAAGATAATTTCTGGTAAATTATTCCTGGAAAAAATCTTATATATCTTTTTGCGAGAATCTAATTATAATAACGATGTGTTTTTCAAACGAATTAATCATAAATTAATGCGTATAATTACCATGATTCGCAAATGCAATTACGCGAGGAATAAACAGGCAAAAAAGATATATAATTTCTTTAAGAAAATACATATAATCGGGAAAACAACTCAATCCGAATTTAAATAAAGACAATTCCACATGTACATATATATATATATACACCAGAATAAAATTGCTTGAATTTAAATATAATTAGGAAGAAAGTTCCATTTTTGTCCCTTTTAAAATACATACATACGTATTTTTCCTAAATTTTTATTCTTCGGCAATTTCGCTCTGCGCGGAAAGAGTGACGTAGCCATAAAGAACAGACATAATTTCAACCAGCAGAGGTTCGCTGTTTTTTGTTTCGCCGTAACAACACGCGACAGATTTCAGATTGTTAGAATTGTGTTAGGTAACACACGATAAATTCTTCTCGTGCGAAATGTAACCTACGTTTGCAGCATTGGTGACAAATGTATTCCGGGCCGCATTTTTTCGATCGCGCATACCGAAATGCCGCGCGAGGAATCTCGGCCGGCGTGGTGAAATGATAGATTTGACTTTTGTCGAATTTTTCGTCTGTCTGAAAGAACTGACCGTCCTCGTTATAGTGCAACCTCTTACGATATTCGTGAGATGTGTGCTGCCGACGGTGATCACGCAATTGACCGGAACGCGATCCTTGCAATGGGTAATGACTCGATTCGCGGTAGAACAATTCACTGGAAATGAATCTCTCCTTCATCGATCCCCGCTTTCTCTTTGCAGAAACGCTAAACGTTCTTTAGTCTCGCTATCCTATTTTACGTAAAAGTTTCTACGTACGCGTACGACATGAATAAGGACAAAAATAAAGAAACGTTAATCTGACACTTTCGTTATCGGGGCGGAGCATTAATTATGCCGGATTATATAATAAAGAAGCAAAGGGCGATGGGAAACGTCTGACAAAGA